AGCAGGTAGAGATGTTCTGGCCACATCGATGACTGTTTCCCTGCTCATCTCTTTGCTTACTTTAACATGCCTAAACTGAAGTGCCTTTTTTCTATTTTTGCAGCTTCGAATCGTTCTGTTTTTACTCTGGGATGAAGACCTTCAGACATGTAGAGATCAGCTTGATGTAGCAGTTCTCCCATGACCAGGACATTGGAAGTGGTCCCATCACCAGTTACGTCATCCTGCGTTATGGCTACTCTTGTTGTTAAGTAGGCCTTTGGGTGTTGAATTTGCATCTCCTGAAGCAGCATATTGACATCTTTAGTAAGCTTGATGCTCTGGAACCAGAAACAATCATCCTCCTGGTGCCCTTGGGCCCCAGGTTGGTTCTTAGCACATCCTGCAGCCCTCCCGTCCCTGGCCCTGCTGATGCTGACCACCAATGCTGCTTGGGCTCAGGCCACCTCGGCCTTGGGGGTCATGGTCTTCATGGCTGCCATAGCTGACTCAGCAGAAGAAAAAGAGACCTGACATGAAGAATGCCCAAAGCTGGCTCAGTGTGGCCCAGAGGCACTATCCAGGCCTTCTGGAAAAGTCAGACATGCCCTGCCCACCCCACGAGTACCTACTGTGTTTCATTTACTAGGCTAGATATGGGGGAGATTTAGTTGGATGGAAAGCCATGTAAACTGATCATTAGAATGCTGTTGGTTAGTGCTGTGATGAGGATATTACACAGGCAAGGGGATCACTACCTTTGCCTGGGAGACTTAGTGTAGGCCTCACGAGGAAAGGATATTTTAGTTGCGTCTTGAGTGCTAAATAGGAGCTGGCAGAGGAGAAATGTGAAGCAGGAGACAGAACGAAGCACAGCTTTGCTAGGTGGGATAGATAGATGCATTAACAGTTCTTGCCCACAAGAAGATTCCAGAGTGGATATCATAGGATCCAGATTCTTCTTTCACTTCTCATCCTTCCAGAGGGCTGAGTTTAATGTGATATAACCAGGGTTGATCACTTTAAGAAATCATCTTGGGTGAACCTGGTTCTCTGGCTGAAATAGCCTTTCTTCTCTGGAGTGATAGTGTGACTAATCCTAATGGAACTTCTACATTGGTAAAAGCCACAGCTATGGAAAGTGAGCAACTGGCACGATGGGCTGACATCTCCATGTGCTTCTGATGCTTGGAGAGCAATGCTGGTGAGAGAACCATCTTCACATAGTCTGTGTGTTCTTGTGTTCCCATCAGGTGAGGCTCCACCCATGCCCAGTTCATCTTTTCAATATAAGGTGAATTGATTGTTTGCCCATTGATCTAAACTGGGGAAACTGAGCTAATTTCTTTCTAGGATCTTGGGCTCCTCAAAGTAAATGACTTCAAGTTCACTCTAGGGCCAAAGTGGCTGTTAAGAGTGGGTCAAGCTGGATTTCAGTAGGGTCTTTACTTCTCTACCAAGCTAAATTTCTCACTGAAGTGTTCTGACTACATAGAAGAATAGAATTAAAGGGGGAAGAACTGTAGGAAAATAGTTACGTACTTGCTTTCAAGACATTAGTGCAACCAAAGTCAAAGGTTCTAAAATATAAACTGTGCTATTTATTTCTAATCGTCTTTCTGGGCATTTAGAGGGGTGTCCTTTTATGAGAGGCGGAACAAAGTTCTGGTGGCATCCTGATTTATAGTGGTTGTTTTTACTTTTTAAAAAGTTCAGTGCAAGTGGGAGAAAATGTTGGAAGGACTAAAGACGGTGGAAGAAGAAATGGAAGATGAGAATAATTTTAATTCTCAACAGTCACTCTCCATTCTAAATTGTGCCTCTTTACTGCAGTATGGAGTGACTGTGTCTTCCTGATGAAAACCTCTGCATACTCAGAACTAATGTCACTTGTCCATGTGTTTACAGGACATATGGACATCTTTATGAAAGCTGTTTCTTGTGTTTCTGAATTAACATATGTAAAGCACTGGGGAAAATGCCCAGCAAAAAATATGTGCGAGGGAAACTTTAGGGTTATATTTGTTGTTATTATTATTATGTTATTATTATTCAGCCTCATCTCTTTAGCTAAGTATAAGTTCACTGTAAACGAAAATCTCACTATCTTTCTCATTCCTAAAAATGTGTGAACGTGACCAGGACCTTGGACTAGACGCTTCCCCTTTGTGAGCTCAGATTGCACCACATAGAGATTGTTTGTAAAGTCCAATATTAATCCACAAACCCAATTTAGCTCCTACTGTTCACAAGGCACTGCCCTGCGTCCTACGCCCTTTTGATAGTGAAAGTATCAAAATGAACAGGTAGTTAAAATCTCTCGTAGGAGTGAGGCTGGAGAAGCAACGATACCCACCAATGAGCTGTGGCACGGGGTATGGAAGAGACTGCGAGGCGATCCCCACAACCCGCCACCCCCATGCTACTCGCAGCTACGCTTTGCACTCCGCCCCGTGCCTGGACAGCCGGCCGCACTCGGGGCAGAGGGGCAGGATCCCGGGTTCGGCTTCTGGATCGAGGCCCCGGGGTGCAGCCGGGCTGCGAGGCTGCGGCGCCAGCGGCGCTGGGAGTAGGTCCAGGCGGCACCCGGAGCCTCCCCCCGCCCCTGCTCTCGGCTGACCAATCAGGGCGCGGCTCGGCTGCGCGCCGCGGCCAATCAGGAGCGGCGGGAGCGGCGCCTGGAGCCGGCGGGCGGCGAGCGAGCCCGGAGTCGGGATCCCGCCGCGGCGCTGCGCCCCGGGAGGGAGCGCTTTGAGTGCAGTGAGGCCGGGCTAGGGGGGCACCCCGGACCAGCCCCGCCGGCTCTGCCGCGGCGACCTCCGGGCCGACACTCGGGACCCTGCGGGCGGCGTCACAGGTAACCGCACCGCTCAGAGGCAGGGCGAGCGTGCGGGCGAGAGAGGGACCTCAGGTGGGGCGGGCGGGGGGCGGGCCGGCCGCGAGGTCCTAGCGCCGCGGTGCTGCCCGAGCCCCTGGAGCCCCGGCGCCTGCTTGGTTCGTAGTCCGGGGAAGGGGCGACGTGTCCTCACGCCGCGGGCGTCCGGGAGTGGGAGGACGGGAGGTCAGTCCGTCTAAGGCGTGCGGGACATGTGGGGGAAAAACACCTGAGACCCCGCACCCATACTCAGATACTATTTGCCAGCACATGTCTTCCCCAAGGTCTAGGTCCCCGGGACATCTTCCTTGGCCTGAGTGGGGAGGCGACAACAAGTGTCCCTGGGGACGGTGCCACCCCCCACGTCTGAAATCCGGGCCTTGGCGTTCCTTTCCACCTTGGGGGTGTCCAGAGACAGGACCCCAGCCAGGCCTCGGGCGCGCTGCCCGCTGGACAGCGCCCAGAAGCGTCCTGGACGCGGCGGACTCCGGGTTTGGATGGAGTTTTCTCAGCGCGTTGCCAAGCAATTTGCCGGACACCGCCTCTCTCTGGGATAAAGAGTTGAAGATGAGTGAGTGAGAGAGTGAGTGAGTGTGTGTACAGTGTGTGTGCGGCAGCCCTGAGGGCTGAGTGAATCATTAACTGTGGTCTTGGGCAGCTACTGGCCCCTGCCTGTCCCTCCGTTCCTCTTAGGCAGTCTCTTATGCTCTCTGTGCCTCACTCCTAATCTGTAAGGTGGTGACGATGGTTGCACCCGTCTTACAAAACCTGCGTTGTTTTGAGGATTAAATAAGGCAATGCCTGAAAAACGCCGAGCACAGCGCTCAGGACTCAATACTATACGGAGTGGATGGTCGTTTAAAGAGTAAATCAGACGTGTCCAAACTGGCCCAGCGACCAGTTGGAGCTCTGAATAGCTTTCTACACTTGGAGGGGAAAGATGCTATTAATGTTACCGATGGTATCGTTTAAAGGTAATGTATCCCCAGAGGGGGTAAAAAGGTGCTCCATAGGAATGATGAGAGAGAGAAATGGTTTCCAACTAGTATCTTAGAAAACCTTTGTAACCCTTGAAAAAATCGATACGAATGTTCCGTGAAGAGAATATCATGGTACTCTGTTGAATTCTTGTCTTTCCTTAGAATGGCTGACTTGGTGGTGTTGGGGGGAGGTGTGTGGCGATTTTGAAGGTTCTAGTACTTTCTACCCCTTCCTTAGACAAGTAAAGTTTAAAAAGAGAGAGAGGGAGGGAGGGAGAGAGAGAGGGAGGGAGAGAGAGCAAGCGAGAGAGCACGCGCGCCCAACGAGAGAGAGAGAGAGCGAGCGAGCGAGCGAGAGAGCACGCGCGCCCAAGCACACAACAAAATGCCAGCAGCTTCTAGAAACCTAAAATTGCAGTTGCCACTTTAGGCGATTGTTCCCATGTCTGACTGACCTGGACAGTCTGGTTCATTTCTTTGCCAATGTGTCACTTTCCTTTTTTTGCTTAATCTGAAGAGTCAAACATTTGGCACCATACATTTTTCTTTTTTAAAACCTAAAATATCAATATGGAGTAGACTCCTTTGGAATTCTCAACCTTCTGCTGCTTAACCTACCCTGTGACAAACCCAAAGGATCTTCTCCAAAGGTTCTCTAGGGTGACATAAGTGGGACACTACCTCCATAGCTTAGGGCCTGGGGAAAGGCACAGACAAAATGCCCCAGTTCTCCTAGGGTCTCTAGGGCCTTTGCCAGGAGCCTTAAGAATAAACACATCCATCTAAAGAAAGTGATTATCTTCTCCGGAGTAGGAAGCCCACTTACAGATGCAAATCTTTCAAGTGTCAAATTAATTTGACAGCTCTTTCAGTTGTTGATAAGGAGACTTTTACTCTCCAAGAGTGGGAGCATCTGAAAGCTTACTGCTGGAGGAGGGAAGTGTGGAGGGCAGAAGAAAAATTGCTTAGTTCAGAGCCAGACCGGTGCCTGATGAGAACTCTAGAAACCTGGACACGTTTGCTTTTCTGAGCCAAACTCTGCCATTCTGTAAAATGAGGACTTTCTCTCTCTATATATATTCTAAAGAAGAGTTATTCTAAAGATGCTAATGAATGGAAAGCCCCTAGCATGGTTCCAGGGACATCGTTACAAGTCTGTAGCATTCAGAGGAGGTCCTAAAGGTGAGAGTGATTAGTTTTACCTGGGAAAGAAAGACTTGATTAACACCTGAACTGAGTGTAGAATGATGAGCCAGTCTCTTGTACAGACAGTGAAGTAGGATTGGAAGAAAGAGTAGAATGGAGGAGAGAAGACATTTCAGACAGAAAATATGGTAGATCAAACGTGCTCTAATAGTTTAGGCTAAATAACAAATAACTTCCAAATCTCAGTGGCTTACAACAGCTAAGATTTATTTCTCACTTATGCTGCATGTCCAATGTAGGTCAGTTGTGGTTCTGCTCATCTGTTTTTGGTCTGGGACTGACTGAGGCTTGAGAAAACATTTTTTTTTTTTCTGGGACAATGCTGATCTCATTTATGAGGAAGGGAAAAAAGAAAACATGACAGAACAAATATGGCTCAGAAGTAACAGACATAACTTCAGGTCTCACGCTATTGGCCAAGGTAAGTCACATGGCCAAACCATGTGGCTGGGGAAATATAAACCTCCTGCAGACAGTGAGCTATGGCCTAGTAGGAGGGAAAGTGCCTAGTGAGGAAATGGAAACTAGAATTCACAGAATTCGAGTACAAGAAGAGTACAAGTTTTTCCCCTCCCCTTGTAATTCTGTCTTGACTCTCCATCCTGTCATTGAGTGCACACCCTTTTGCCTGGCCCCAGACCTCTCACTCACACCAGCCAATATATTTCAATCCTGATCCGTCACACTTATCATCATCCCAGTTTTAATTTCTTCTGGAGTTGGATTTGCCCACTGGGTGGACATTTAGCTGATTTTAAAATAGACCAAGAAATTTCTCACTTCATTCTAGGTCACCCTCATGAATAAGCATCTGTACCATGTGATCATGCAAATTGTGATCAACTCCCCCACCCCAAGATAAATAACCCCATGAGAAACCAAGATCATCCATGGTCTGGCTTATACCAATGGGTGGTGCAAGTCACAACAGTTCCCTTAACTGTGACTCACTACTGTAATGAGAGAGCATTCCAAAAATGGACGTTAAGGAGAAAGTATGTTGGTGTGTACATGACACAAGAAATAAAACATTGTGAGGGTTTCTTTTCTTTTTACTGTATTTTTTCTCAATCCTAGATGTGGTAAAAATTTGAACTCTACCAAGGTCCAGGTTATCAGTGATATGCCTGCCCAGCAGACACCGTGTGAATGCATGAAATATTTTCAGGTTTTCAGGATCAGCATTTTGAGTGCTGGCTAGCAGGTTAAAATATTTGTTTTAAGGTGGGATGAGTATATATTTGCCCATTGCGGTGTGGGTAGAATGTATTAGAAATTCTTCATATATTTGTATAAAATAAAAAATGTCTTGGGGGCGCGGTCCAAGCTATAAAATGAAATGAGTGAGATTTGAAATGACTCTTCCTGATTGAGATTTGATGGAAAAATAGCACCTTAAAGGTGTGATCTTTGAGACAGGAGAATCCCCTAGGATTCTGCATACAGCCTGAGGTGGATGAGAAAGCTTGGAACTGTAACCTCTGTCCAGGAGGCCTGAGGCCATCTCCGTAGATCAGATCTATCTGTTTCCCTCTCTGGGTAATTTTGCATGACTTTTCCCCTCCTGCAGGCTTGGCCTTGGTGCTACTTTCCCTTGGTCATTTCTAAAATGAACTACCACGAGTCCCTCGATTTCAGGTCTCCAGGAAACTTGGTCTAAAGTTTCAAAAGATGCAGCAAATAAAACCCTAGACATAAGTGAGGGAAAGAACACTTAGACTAGTAGGAAGGGATTTAAAATCCCTTCCTGAGCATATTCATTAGAAAGTGTTATAATTCCCCGTTGCATAGCATTTATCCAGCAATTTGATATTTAAGAAATATACATATCAAATCATTAGATAAATAGTATCCTTTCTATATATTTATATTGACTAAATGCTATCATATGTATTTTTTTTTTTACATCTGTACAAATTCCAGGAGGTAGGTTTCTAGTGCTTTGCTGTCCTTCTGAAATGTGATAACAGAAAGGGTCAAAATTCTGAAGACAGATAATAGAAAAGCAGGATTGAAAATTCAGAGTCCCTTGAATTTTTCGTTCACGTATATACCTTTGCCACCCCGGCTGGCTCCGTACTAATCTGGATTTGTGCTTTCAGGTGGCCTCACTAATAGGCAAGAGATGGGCAAAGTTCTTCGTGATATGTAGTCGCAGTGAGGATTGTGAAGCTACTTTGCAGATTGTTAATGGCCCAGTAAAATCTTTGGAAGGTGGCTTCATGCAAATGGCATTGAGCATCTTCTGGGTGCAAGGCTCTGAGGAAGATATAAGAGGAATTCAGAGAAGTGTCATCTTAGTCTTTTGACACAGCCTCTAATTTGAGAGAGAAAGGGAATAATATTTATGCAAAATTAATAACAATTAAATACCAATGAAACCAACACTAGACAAATAATGAAAAGGACTACCGTGTGCTGTGAATTCAGGGAAAGGGAACCTTTCTGAGGTTGTGCTGGTCTGGAAAGGTTCAGGAAAGTGCAGTTGCACTTGATTGGGGGTAAAAGTAAGATTTAGGCGGAGCGTTGGGTTTTAGGGAGTGTACTTACTGTGGCTCTGATGGTCAGCACAGGCTTGTTTTGAGTCTGTGATGAGACACCTGGAGTGAAGGGGTCAAGAGGAGGGAAGTCTGAGCTTCTAAATTCTTTGTTTCTTGACCACCATCGGACTATCTAATCCAGGTATTCTCCCTGCTTGCATCATCACCTCCTGACAAATAAAGCCATTGCGTGATTTAGTAGCAGATGAGTAACACTGGACTCTAATTTGACTTTCGTAACATGTCCATTTTATTA